TTATTCTCATCTAACTCGGATGTGTGAAACTTATGGTACAGGACTTACCTACTTCATTTCTTCATTAAATTGAAGCCCAATTTGGTTGATTTAATGACCAAATGTAAAATCCTGGTAGATCTAGTTGAGGTCTTAAAATCGTACTTTTTAAATCTCCCCATTTGCCTCTAAAAAGGCTCATCTGTGCTTTTAACGAGCTTGTTTCTGTCTCACTTTATGAAATGATTTAGGCCTGGCAGAGCTGCACACATTGAAGTGTTTGCAGGATAATGTTTTAAACTTTGTTCAGATGGTATTAGATCACTTGTGCTTAGTCTACGCACCGTTTGCACACTACAGTGAATGTAGGATGTAAAGTCACTGCTATAGCTACCTTTCTGAGACCTAATGGAAACTTTTGCCATTTATTTAATTCTAGACATCCTTTTTGCCTCATTGTAAAGGACGAAGGTGTTTTGGTTGAAGTGGCGTCTAAAAACATTGGCAACAATTTTATTTCACTATTGTTGGTCTACGGTTGAATTAATTTAGCTTCTGTGCCTTTCTGTTCTTTTTCAGCACTTCGTTTTCCTCATTCCTGTAAATCATTTTGTCTTTTTACTTACTGCGCTCTAAGGCTACCAATTCCTCTTGCACAATAATCACAAACTCATAAGCTATCAACTTAATTTTTTTACTGTATTGTGATAAACTTGGAGCTTTATTTGATTTGCTTTGTCATGTTTTTGTTGTTTTTAGTTTCTAAAAAAAGAATTTAATGTTTCAAACTATTGAGAGCAGATGGCATTTATTCAGTTTTATGATTTTTTTTTTTGGCTCCAGAGACTTAGCTACAGATCAGGTCTTATGGAAACCATGCAATTGCAAATATGTGACTGATGAGTGGGGTCCCTTTTCTACCCTTATGTTATTAATTGTACATACACGTCTTTATGATTTGTGCGTGCACCATCCGGTTCGGGAATGTTTTAAAGCTCCCTCTTGTTACATCTTCACCGACAATCAGGGACACAGGCGCCACATTAAGCATTTAATTTTCCTCAAGAATGTATAAAAATGATCCTGCTGTAAATATGTTGTGTATATTTTTTATGTTCTGCAAAGTACTGTTTATCAAAAAAAAGGAGAAAAAAGATGTGCAAGAGACACTTTTTGTCAGCGGAAGGCATTGTTTCCAAGCATTTCATAGATATTACAATGAGACACATGACCTGAGTGAAAATGGCCTCCCAACCCTATTCAAATCAGACAAAATTGGTGTAAAACGTTTGTGCTGGTTCATGCAGCAAAAATTTTCGTTTGTGCCGCTATATTTTTAAAGATAAAGAAATGTTTCTAGAGATCACCAAAGGTCAACGAAACCCCCCCAACTTCTTCAAATCAGACGAAATGGTTATCAATTAACTCGACTCCATTTGTGCAGCAAACCTTTTTGCTGTACAAATGGAAACAATTTTGTCTGATTTCATAAAAGTCGGTAGCCTCGTGACATCATCCTGATCTCGCAAGATTTCACTCGCTAATCAGTCTGGAGACTCTCCTTTGAAGAAAATTTGGAGCCGTTCACCAAACGAACGTCCAATCAGCGTTGGCTTTGAGGCGGGTTGAGGTGTGACACAACGAGAAGCGCCACAGTTCAGTCTAAAGAACATGGCGGCTTCAGCCGATGAAACTAGCGTTAGCGTGGCTATCGAGCAAGTTTTATCTGAATTACAGAGTATTTCTTCACTGAAAGAAGAGCAAAACACTGCTCTGGAGGCTTTTCTCAGAGGAAAAGATGTTTTTTCTCTTCTCACGACTGGTTTCGGCAAGAGTTTGATCTATCAATTGGCTCCTCTTCGTCGTCGCTCTGGTACGTCATATGCTTTGTTGATCTGATTGGTTTATTTGGCCCGTCTATCACCAACATAGGCCAATCAGCTAACCAGTATTTTCGCCCCTTTCCAAAATTACTTCTACGGAAGGTTTCCAGATGAATATGCAGAGCAAATCCATCTGGCGGAGTCAGGTTAAAAAGTCGGGGGGCTGGTTGACCTTTTGACCTTTACCTTTTCATTAATATCTTCAAACCCCAAGCAGCACAAAATCGACTCCGTTTACTACACAAACGAAGTTGAGTTAATTGGCACCGAATTTTGTCTGATTTGAAGGAAGATGGGGGGACCAGTTTCACTCAGGTATACACATGCACTGCCAGATAAAGATGTGAACGTTTTCCACGTCTGCCAGTAGTTTTAAAAGGAAATCAGAATCATTGAAGCCAGTGTTGAAATGAAAAAACAACTAGAGATGGTTAAAATAAGCGGAGAATTACTTAGTCTAAAAGTCGCTCTCGGTATCAAATATTTAACCTGAGCTGTTGGATTATGACAAGGTTGTGGTTTCCTGGTCTCCACAGGCTGTTTAATTGAAGCTATCTTGAAAAGCACAGAGCAGATGGGTTTATATGAGAAATCCTGTTCTGCCTTTGGGAATTTCCAACACATAACTCATTAGTTTCCTACATCAGCAGCTCTTAAGTTTCTTTATTTTTTCCTTTTGTCTACCTATGTCCGTCTTCTGGCCATAAGTGTCCTTGTATAAGCTAAAAAAATGTGTTTTGTGTAAAAAAAAGAAAAAAAAAAAGATCTGTATTATAGATTTTTTTATAAATGATATTTTTGACAAGTCATTTAAAGCACTGATACATAAAATCACAGAGATACATTCTTTGCTCCCATTATTTAACTTTACTAGTTCCTGTTGAAACCTTCCAGTTACAGAACAGGAATCCAAACGTTGACATTTTTCTACCTTTTAAAAGGATTTGGACAAAGAAGCTTCCTGCTTCCCTGGTGGTTAAATGAAACGGCTGAATTTGCATGGTCACTGACTTGTTTGGTTGGATGAACTCTTTTTAATATAATTGTGCAGCTTTCATTGTAACTGATAAATCAGTCGAGTTAATCCCATATAATTAGAGCTTTGCTAAATATGATTTTGTAGGCAAATTGATTAAGTTGTTCTGATTGTCGTGTGTACTGTCCTTATGAATAAAATGATTCACAGGAAGTGAGCTGGAAGATCTGATTATTTTTATCATTTTTATGCAGAGATGTCAAGCAACAAAGTAAAAATACTTTGTTACTGTACTTAAGTACACTTTTTAGGTATCTATACTTTACTCCTTTGCTTATTTGTCTTCCTACATTTAATTTCTACTCATTACATTTTCAGACAAGTATCTGTACTTTCTATTCCTTACATTTACAAAACAAACGTTACGCGTCACTCTTGGCTTCGGTTTAATGTTTATAAATATTTATTTCCCGTCAAGTGCACCATCCAATGCAGATCATTGGCGCCATTCACATCTAGTGAAAACTAGTGTAATTTGATGAGTCTTATAACGCAAACACTGATTGGTTAGCTAAAGGAAATCATCAGAAGTAAGCAGGTCTTCTTCAAACTGCAAATGTGAATTGTCTATATCATGCTACAATGTCAGATTAAGAAAAAGATGTTCAAATGTCTAAAAGGTCGGACACAGGCGACAGCATATCGGGAGATGGAGACGGAGACCAGCATGACCTCCCTCATCCTTGGCCCTATCTCAGAGAATTAGCTTTCAATTCATATAGTGGCATCTGGCTGTTTTTATTAAAGGTTACTTTATACTTTTTTATACTTTAAGTAGTTTTTGGAGCACATAATTTTTTACTTGAGTGAAGAGGTCAAGTTGATACTTCAACTTTTACCAGAGTGTTTTTAAACTGCAGTATCTATACTTCTACTTCTAAAACGTGTGTACTTTTAGCACCACTGCTTTTATGTCATTTATAGCTGCCTATCTATGCAGGGGAGGATGATGCTTTTTGTCTTTGGGTGAGACCCTGGACTAGTAGCAAGTTTATAATCACCAAAACATACTTGGTTTAATAAAGCTAATGGATTTAAAAATGAAGAAAAAAGAAAAGAAAACCTTTTAAATTTCAGGCGAGATTTATGTTTGGGGACATTTTTAAATATAGCTTAAAGAGATAGAGAACCCTTTTTGGACTTAATTGTGCATCTGATGTGTTGGGTAAAAAACTGCTTTAATTTGAAAATGACTCTCCTTAATTTATGCCATATAGCTAAATCGTAGGGGTACTTCAAAGCTACCTGCCCTATTTCTCAGCAAAACTCAGAACTTTGGTCCACTTATTAAGCAGGTTATCTTAAAACACCATACAATAGAAATTAGTGTTGCACCGATGCCATTTTTTAGCCCTGATACCTGGCTGTGGAGTATCGGCCGATACCATCTATTTGAAATTTATGTGTATATATATATATATGAAGAACTGCATACTACTTGGATGTAAAGTAATTGCCATCATGGCTTTGTCAAGCTGCTGCCTGCCTTTGTGAAGCAGGAAAAAGACTAATATAAAGTGAATCCAGTAGAAATTTTTATTGCCTACCTAGAATGGGTGAAAATAGTTGAATAAACTTTTGGCTCTCAAAATGGTATCAGTGCCCTATTTGGTACTCGCCGATACCGATGCCACCATTTTAGTGCAGTATCGGAGCCCTGTCCAATACTGGTATTGGTGCTACACTAACAGAAATTCAAACTAAATTGTATTTTAACTGTCAGTTTATATTTCTTTCTTAGAAAGTACACCATATTATGACTTAGACAGACTTTGTCATTTTGTACATACATTTTGCATACGAAACGACATTTCGATCCGAAGACATTTCCATTTCTAAAGTGCAGCAGTGATAAAATGTAAACATAAGACTAGTTTATGATTTACAGTTCCCAACATTCAGCGCTTTTAAAAAAACAAACTAATTTTATACAACATTATACAACATATTAAATAAAAATAGATGAAATAAAAGAGTTTTTTCCCCCAGCTTTAATCATTTATCAAACTTGTACTGCTGGGCTTATTGCCAAGACTAACACAGGATTCCCAGCATTCAAGGTGAGAGAGGAAAGTTTACCTGCTGACGTTTTCACACACCTTATCACTCTGGATTCATTTTTCCTTTTCCTCTGTTTTCTATTAACACCAAACGACATGGAGACAAAAACGGTAAGTTTAAAACAATTATTTAAAGAAAGAAAAAAATGCTTTTGGAGAAGTTTACCTTTAACTCACAGACTGAACATTTACGCACAGCTTCAAATTAAAGCGATATATTACGCACTATTACTGCAGTGGAAAGTGCCACGCAATCATATTTGCATGACTTTCATTTACTTATATTAAAGTTTAAAACGTGCATAAAACTATTAATGAGCAATATAGCCACAGTACTGTTGGTTTTGACTGACTTTAAGGTGAAGCTGTGACGTCCTTTGAGCTGTTTGCGCCGCAGCGTCAGAGAGACGCACACCCAGCAGGATCCGGGTGAGACTCCTGCTGCTGTTTGACAAAGGCCCGCAGCTTCCTCACGCTTTCACATGGGAGAATAAGAACAAGCAAACAGGCCTAGGGTTGATGTCAGTGAAGGAGCTTTCCTGCTATCGATGGAGACCCTGCCAATCGGTTGGCACGTGCACACCTGCGGCCAGGAGGGCGATGGGATCCAGCTGCTGAAGGAGGGAGCAGCTGACGCCATCAGCAACACTCAGGTTCACGATCTGTTCCATGAAGATGCGCAGGTAACATTCTGATACTTACCAACTCCAACTTTTTATCAGTCACGTTACTTTCCGAAATATATAAACACCTTAGACGGTTAAAAAAAAATAAAAACCAAGCAATATTTATGGGTTTTGAATAAATACTTAGCTCCAAATTAAACATTTTGTTTGGAGCTAAATATTTATTTAACAAACTAAATATTTCATTTGCAAACTAAATATTTATCTTCTAACTAAATATTTCTTTTAAAAATAAGATTTTTTTTTTATAAATGAATGAGTGACACGGTGGAAAACAAATTAACCCCTTATTTGTCCTCTTAAAACACGCTAAATAATCATAAATATTGCTCCTAATTTTTGATTGCTTAACTTTACAAACAGCCCCCCATGTTAGAGCACCTCTTTTAAAGAAAATCAACATTTTATTTGCAATATAAATTGGTGCATAACTGTGAGGTTGAAGAATTCATTTCTTTGTGTTTGTATGAGGCCCAACTCAATGCTTTAATGTTTTACCTTTTTTGTCAGTCCCTTCCAGTTTCCACATCATTTTTCCAATATTTATTTGTAAAAGATTCAGTTCAGTTGAGAGAAGTTCATAAAAATTCTCTTTCAAGCCACATATAATATGTTGACTTCAGGTATTTGGGTTATTCCAGCATAGGACTATGTGATTTAATGCTGCCTTCATGTGGTCTGCTAAAAAATGATCTTTACCACTTGTAAAGTGGAAATTAGAATAGAACAGAATAGAAAAGAAAATTCATTTATTGTCCCATAGTGGGGAAATTCTAGTGTTTACAGCAGCAAAAAGATTATAGATAAAAGTGGTCACACAAATGTAGACCTTATAATAACATAATAGTGAAGAGTTAAAAAATAAACAAATGAAATACTGCACTGTAAAGTGTTTTAACAATATAAATAATGTGCAACTGGAGAATAAATTACCAATGTACAGCTCTAAACATTTTTACAGTAATGGATATTTGAAAATAGCTGCAACATCAGAGATGTACAAGATGACAGCAGCACGTTATTTAACTGACTAAGAGAGAAACTGTGCAAAATCAGCATGAATATAACAACTTATTGAGGTTGTTGGGAACAGTGATGGTTTTAAAGTCTTACAGCTGCTGGGAGGAAGGATCTGCGATAACGCTCCCATTGTGTTCAAGTGCAAGTACCTTTGTTATGGTAGAGAAGAGAAACATGTTGGCTACTTGGGCTGGATGGTTAGACTTCCTACTTATTCTGATACAGGAAGAAGAGGGTGCATCAAATGCATTGGCTGACTGCTAGCAAGTATGTCATTAAATCAAACAACGGTCATTTAACAAACATGTGAAGTTTAAATAGTGACATATTTTTAAAGCATATATATCTCAAAGCATTTTGAAGGCTATAAACACAACATGAAAGAACGCATAACGATGCAGTGTCCACCATACAGAATCACTCTCTGCTCTCTGCCATGTTGAAAGGTCAAAGTTTACCTCATCTCAGCAACGCTGTTATCATACAGTAACATTTTCCCAGCTTTCCAGTGAACTTACAGCATGCTTAGGGCTCATATGCAAGTTTCATGTCAGCTTTTGGTATTAACTATAATTACGAAACCACATGAAGGCACCATACGACCGTCCTTCGTGTCTTGCTGTATGTTTAACGTTAGGAGGTGAGCCTCCCCTTCTGTCATTTACAGTGAGTCATTTACAGGCATTAAAAGGTCCTCTTTCAATATTGGACTCTTAGCAAACTCTGACTAGTTTCCCAGTTCAAAAAAAGCCTCCCCACAGCATGATACTGCCACCGCTGTGTTTCTCCATGAATGACTTGTTCATGGCAATGGTTAGTGAAAGTCCTCAAACACCTCTTTCATTTTCCACACTTCTAAACCAAGCAACTTCTTCCATGCTGTATTATGTTGTGTTAGCCGGTGGTTTGTGACCACGTTTAAACACTTCATATTGCTTTCTTTCAATAGCTGCTCTCCTCTCATCATTTTGCCTTAAACAGTGGATGTGTTGCATGCATTACTAATAGACACAAAAGTGCTTGATGTTGTGCCAGCCTGTCAGTTTAAGAGGACAGCCACGAATTGCTAGGTTTGCAGTGCCTCGTACAAAAATATATATTGCACCTTTAAAAAAAAAAAAAAAGAAAGAAAAACATTTTTTGTTTTTTTATTTACAATAATTAAAATTGCCTCCACTCTTCAATGCTATTCAGTGTTTGTCTGTGATATGAAAGAGAAATGAAACAAAAAAATGTGAAAAGGTTCAAAGAGTATGACTATTTTTGGCATTACAGATTGACCTCAATTAAATCTGAAAAACTAAAGATGGTAAGTCTACAAAGTGCATGTTTAGATATTTATATATTTCAATCAGTCTTTTTTTTCAGGGTTTCCACCAGCCCAGCCAGCCATGGTGGAGGATCAAGCTGTTTGTGTGGGAACCCGTGCTTTTTGGGACCTGGGATGGCGTTTTCACCACCTGCATGATCAATATCTTCGGGGTGGTTTTATTCCTACGCACTGGATATCTGGTGGTAAGTCTGCATAGTTTGAGTGTGCATGATAATCTGTTTTCCTTAAGCAGTTTTAAAAAAAAAAATCAACAGGCATTTGAAGGATGATATGAATAAAAATGACAAAGCAACAAGGCATTGCAAGATTAAATACTTCAGAAGACTCACTCTGAACTAAAATGACAACCCTGTGTGAAGAAAAAATGGTAAATAAAAAAATAAAAAATGGGATGGTATCTAAAGACTGAAGCATGAATATCAGTTGGTCGTTTTTTGTTTTTTTACTTGGCTGCTTATGCCAAAGCTTGAATCCCTGTGGCGGTTTGGTTTAGACCATAAAAACGGCTGAATCATCTCAATGCTCCTCTCAGGGTATATAGTTTGAACAACTTGGCTAAAAGACTCGGAGTCAAAAATTTGGCAATGTAAAAGGCAAAAAAAGGATCCACCAGTGTTAATATGCTTAAACCGTGATAGTGGTATCTTGTTCTCTATCACTTGTTAAAAGACAATACATCCTGCACTTTTTTGGACTACACCTATAAGCAAAGGAGAGCCCAATCTCAAGGATTATGTGGAGTTTCAGTAGTCTGTGGATCCCAGTATCTTGTATCCCATCCGGAACATTGTTTGGAGGTCAAAGTTGCAGCTCTAGATGGGTTTATTACCCACAGAAAGGAAGAAAACTAACCCCTCAATTACTATTTAGACCAGTGACTTTATAGTGAGCTCCGTCAACTGACCGTTCGGACAGATGACTACTACTTTTTGCTTCTGTTGGTCATGTGACCCCAGCTTCCTGCATGGTGTCTGCACCTTTTTTCTCTCTCGTCCCAAAACAAATCCCATGATGCTTTGCAAGGAGATCTCTTGCAAGGCATACTGGGATATATCTGCTCATCTAGTAACCATGTGTCCCTACCCGATCTGTACCATTGGCTCATTCGCGCATGTGCAAGCAAATATTTGTCCAGGTCACCATAAATAATGTAATTATGGTACTAAAAGTACTTATTTTTATCCTTAAATCAATAGATAATGCTATATTGCATATCTAAATGTTTTTTTTTTTTTTTACTTTTCTGAGACAATTTGTTGCTTTTTATATTTTCTCTTTTAAACTGCTTGTCTGACATCATTAGACATGCTAAGAGTAATCTGGCAAAATATGATTAAACCATGTTTATCTTCATCTCAGTTGTTTTCTTACTTTTGATTACGCACTATATACTATAAGGTTAGCACAAAAGGAAAAAATGTAACTTAAACACTAGATTTATTTTTAAATCCAAAGCCGAAAAAGTAAACTCTCGGAAGTAGTGTAGAATCCCATTCCCGGCAGAGACAAGTGATAAAACAGGATTTAAATGGATTTATTTTCTCAGGAAATAAATGAACCTTTAATGCATTATAGTTTATTTCACATACCACTATTAGGGAGGAGAAAAATGTAGGTATTTTCTAAAAATCAACGGCGACCCAGATGTATATCTGGTTGTACATGCGCAAATGAACTGATGGTATGGGTCGGGTAGTGTAGCCATGGATGCACACTACTTTTCAAGGTGCATTGTGGGAAATTTTGAGTGCACTACCTTTTATTCTGCTAAACATTCAGAAATGTATTTAAAATGGTGTAGCCCGTATATAGAGCTCTATATAGGGGTTAGTGCAGATGTTTACACACAGCCTTTAATCTCATTTCAGAACCTCTTTCCATGGAGTTCCACACGGCTCAGTTCTCAGCTATAGTTTACTGAAACCGCTCCATTTCTTTTCACTGTTATGCAGAGAACGGTCTTATTACTTTGGGAATCTGAAACCATATGTTGAGCATCAGATAACATTTCTGTGTAACTCTGGATTCATATTTTCATGCCTGTGTGATTTCCTCCTCTGTAACTTTCTGACCTGCTCCTGCCTGATGTTTCACCCCAGGCTCCTAGATCAGCAGATCGGCTTCTGTTGAATTTACCAAAAATTAGTCTCAACCTCAGAGGAGATCGGCCCTATTCTTCAAAGCTCCAAAATGCAGTTTGAATATTAGACTGAAGTCTCCTAAAACATGTTTATTATCACTATCTTTTAAGAATTGCAAGCTTATATTTTTTATTTTATTGTGCTCTTATTGCTTTTTCCTGAATACATTTTATTTATAGAGTAGTTTGTTCTGTTTTTGTCCTTTTGGAAGACTTTGTTTTTTTTATAAAAAGGTTATAAATTATGTTAAACAATCAATGACATTTTATAGATGGTTTAAAGGAGGCTACAGTGAGACAGAGATGCCCCCTTTTAAAAGGCAAATTACTTTTGATGTCATCAGCATAACAATAAAACGGTTCGTGCTGAAAAAAGAAACAGGAAAACACAGTAGACCAAAATAGACACATGTGGAAGACAAGAAAAATAAGTTAAATGGGAGGAGAGGAGCAAAGTTAAATATAACGGGTGTTATTTAATAAGTACAGAGCACAGCACCTCTTAGACAAATAATACAGCCTAGTTATGACAAAATACTGTTTTAATCAGCTGCTGTTAGACTGACTGAACTGAGCAGACAAAATCACTTACAGCTGATAGAAAACACTTAGCAGGTTTATAAACATAGACCCGTGTAGAATTAATATCTGATTAAGCTTCATCTGCGTGTTTAAAAGCTCTGTTACATAAATGTGAAGCATTTTATAACAACGTATGAGAGTCATTAAAGCTGACATCACTAAGATTAATGTTAAATGTGTTTGGTGATTAGATGTGGCTCCAAGGACTCGTTGATTTTAACACCTACATGCTTGTTGATCTTCACTGATGGCTCAAATATAGTTTCCCAACTAGAAGACAAGGTTTCTTATTCACAGTGACAAGCGTCTTATCAAACGGAAATGACACGGTTGTTTAGGTGTGAAGGGAGGCAGTGTGTCTAAGCATGACTGATGGCTCAGCACCTGCTCACTTTTCATATCTGCAGCCTTTCTATGAGAGCGGCAGAGGTGCTGCATTATCTTAAACTAAGAACAAGAAGAATACAAGTGCCTAAAGAAATACATTCAATAACCTTTTTATTTTGGCTCCAGTTGTATTTCATGCAAGTTTGATTTTTGCTACATTTTTATGTCACTTTGCAGAGTAAAAAAGCTTCCTTGTTCCAATGAACGAGGGGAAAAAAACACAAGATGTATGAGTTAAATGTTGTATCTTGTCCTGACCTCATCAGGGAAACACCGGCGTGCTGTTGGGGTTGCTCCTCGTCTCCGTGGTGGTTTTGGTTGCCATTGTGACGGTAATGTCTGGGATCGGAGTCGGGGAGCACTGTGGTTTTGGGAGCGGAGGAATCTACTCCATGATCTCCACCGTCTTAGGCGGCCGGGTGGGCGGCACTGTTGGCCTCCTCTACGTGTTTGGACAGGTGGGTTGATTCTGGAGTCGTCCCTATGAGGCAGCTAAAGGATCCTTTGGGGTGACTGCTCTGCTGAATCCCTCTCCTCTGCAGTGTGTTGCAGGGGCCATGTACATCACAGGCTTCTCTGAGTCGGTGGCGGAGCTGCTGGGTTTGCAGAGCCAGTGGGCGGTGCGCTGCATGTCTGCAGCTGTCCTCCTAGCATTGCTTGGAATTAACCTGGCAGGTGTGAAGTGGATTGTCAGACTCCAGCTCCTGCTGCTGGCTGTGCTGGCTGTCTCCACTCTGGACTTTGTTATTGGCACCTTCACACACCTTGATCCAGGTAAGAGCCAATGGTTGCAACTGTTTCCTCTAATTCAAAAAAGAAAACAGTGTTAGAATGAAAGAAAAAAAACTAAATTATCCTTAAACCTGGTGTTTTTTTTTTGCTGTGTTACAGTATAACCACAAATATTAAGGATTTTTCAAGAAATTGTATATAATAGAGCAACACAAACTAGCTGCTAATCATAAAATAGAAGACCCTCTAAATTCAATTCAATTCAGTTTATTTACATAGCGCCAATTCACAACATGTCATCTCAAGGCACTTTACAGTTCACCAGATCGTACAGTCGAACTGATTCAAAGTTTTTTATCTAAGGAAAACCAGTTGGCTGCATCGAATCATTGGCT